GGGGGGGGGGGGGGGGGGGGGGGGGGGGGGCAGCGGCAGGGGGCCCCCTAAAAATGGCAGGGGCCCAATGTAAACGCAGAGGAATAAATAAAGGGGGGGGGGGGGAAAGTGCTGCCCTGGGGGGAAGGGTCACCACCCCCCCGTAGTGTAACAGACCCCACCCAAGTGGTGGGGGGGACAAATTTAGGGGGGCAGCAGCAAGCCCGTGCCCCCCCACCCAGCCAGACTTGGGGGGGGGTGTAACATATTTGGGGGTGTGACCCCCCCAAAGCTGCCCTGGGGGGGTACTGGGGTCACCCTATGGCTTGAGAACCCCCCAAAATAGGGGGGAAGTTGAGGGAGTCATCTTGTGTCCCCCCATCTTTGGTCTCTGTAGTGTATAGGGAATAGGATGGAGGGAGGAATTTTGGGGTCCCCCCAACCCCAACAACATATAAATGGGGCCCCCCCAAACTGGGGAGGGGAATGTCCTGGGGGGGGATAATGGGGGTTCCCTCCCCTCCCAGAATCCACCCTGTGTCCAATAAATAAACCCTCAGGGGGGTATTTAGGGGGGGCAACCCAGGAGTGTTAATTTGGGGGGGGGGGCTGCCCCTCTTAAAATTCCTCTCACTACAAGGCAGGGGCAGCAGGGGCTGGGGGGGCTTTGGCTGAAGCTGAGTTTGGAAGGGGAGAGGGGTCCCTGGACCCCCCCCCAGCTTAAGGCAATAGCTTTGCTCTGTCAGTCTCTGACCCCCCCATACCCCAACTCAGGGGGGGGCCCATTTTGGGGGTCTCCCACCTCCCAGAGCAAAAGGGGGGGACCCTGGAAGGCAGCTATGAGTGCCCCCACATAGGGGCTCTGGGGAGTTGGGGGGGTTACGGGGATTTGGGGGGGCCGGGGGGGCTGTCCTGGGCCGTGGGAGGGTCTGGGGGTAGGGGGGGCTCCCCCTGGCCCTCCCCCTCAGTGAAGATCTCGGGGTTCTCCAGCATCTCCCGGATCAGGGGGGGCATCGGCCCCGGGATCTCCGTGCGCAGGGTCAGAGCCCGTTCTGCCCCTGGTGGGGAGCAAAGTGTGAGTGACCCCCCCCCCTCCAATAATTAACATCTGCCCCAGGGACTTGGAATTTCCCCTGTGAGAGCTTAGACCCTCTCCATCCCAGGACCTTGGAGCCCCCAAAATGAGCTCAAAAGCCCACCAAGAGCTTGAACCCCCCCAAAACTCTGAACCCCCCCCAAGAGTTCCAACTCCCTCCAAAAAGATCTTGGGCCCTCCCCAAACTACCTTCAACCTCCCTAAATTTAAGCCCCTTCAAGCACTTGAACCCCCCAAATTTCAACCCCCTCCTAGAGCTTAAGCACCCCTTCAAATGAGCTTCAACCCCCCCCCCAAGACCTTCAGCCTCACCAAAAACTTTGAACCCCCCCCCAGAGTTTCAACTCCCCTTCCCGCAAAACCTTGAACCCCCCAAAACCTTGGACAACCGCCCCACCAAGACCTTAGACACCCCCCCAAAATGAGGCTGGGGGAGGTTCCAGAGAAGGATTTTGGGGTGTTGAGAGGGGGGTGTTTGGGGGATTTTGGTGTCAGAGGGGCTCAGAGGGGGTCTGAGGGGCCTTTGTGGGCTATTCCTGTCTGGGGGGGTCCCGAGGGTCTCACCCTTGGTGCTGATGCCAGACAGATCGGTGATTTTTGAGCATTTGCAGAAGTACTGGGGTTGGGGTGGGTTTTCGGAGGGTCCCAGGGGTTTTGGGCTGTTGGGAGGGGCTATACCCATTTCGGGGGGGTCCCGGGGGTCTCACCCTTGGTGCTGATGCCGCGCAGGTCGGTGATTTTGAGCAGCATTCGGGGGAATCGCTGCGGTTGCCGAGGCCGCCGCCGCCGTGCGTAGACCCGGAGAGCCTCAAGCAGGGGCTCCTGCAGCCGCTCCACGCGCCGGGGCTGCTCCAGCTCCATCCGGTCTGGGGGGACAGAGACCCCCGGGCTGGGACCACCAGGACAGTGTCCCTGTGTCCCCATATTCCCATGTCCCCCCTGTCACCCCCCTGCCCTCTCCTGCCCTGCAGATCCCAGTGTCATCGTGTCCCCACATGCCCACCATTGTCTCTCATCCTAGGAGACATGTCCCCACAGCCTGGTCCCCGAGCCCCCCATGTGCCCCAATACCCATGTCCCTGATGTCCTCATGTTCCCAGTGTTCCCCTACCTCCTCACATTAGGCCAATGGCCCTGAGCAGCCCCTCTCAGTCCCGTGTCCCTTATACCCCCTTACACCCCTCCTATCCCCAAACCCCTGATACTCCCCAAGCCTCCTGGTGTCTCCCCAATGTCCCCCCTCGTGTCCTCACCTCCACAGATGAGGCTGATGGCCGTGAGCAGCCCCAGCTCAGTGTCACTGAGCTGCTGGGGCAGGAGCTGCCCTGCTGTGACCCCTATATTCCTGATATCCCATGTCCCCCTGGTGTCCCTCATGTCCCTCCACCTCCACAGATGAGGCAGATGGCACTGAGCAGCGCAGTCTTGGTGTCATCGAGCTGCAGGGGCAGGAGCTGCCCCGCTGTGACACCCATATACCGATACCCTCCATGCCCCCTGTGCCCCCCTTTTCCCCCCAATGTCCCTGATGTCCCCCTACCTCCACAAATGAGGCAGATGGCACTAAGCAGCCCCGTCTCAGTGTCGTCGAGCTGCAGGGGCAGGAGCTGCCCCGCAAAGGCGAACACGAGGTCAGTGAGGGGCCCGAACCCTGCGTTGTGCATCTGGGTCCTGGTCAGGGTGAGCCCATCCGAGAACGTCATCGTGTCCTGCTCAGGGGTGTACCGGGTACAGATCCGCAGCATCTGGGGGTCAGGGTACCCCAAAATCACCCAGGGATCCTAAACACACCACCCCCCCCAGGGTCAGCCCATCCCAGAACATCCTCATGTCCTGCTCAGGCTGTAACGGGCAGATCTGCAGCACCTGGGGGTCATGGGGGTCAGAGAACCCCAAAATCACACAGGGGTCACCGAAATCCCCCCACTCAGGATCCCAAATATCCACCCAGGGACATCAAAACCCCTCAAGAGACCCCAAAATTTCCATAGGGGACCCCCAAACCCACCCAGCCCCTCTCAGGACATCCGTCTGTGGGTGATGAGGTCAGAGCCACCATGGGAACCCCCAAGCCCCCCTGAGGTCCTCCCAAACCCCCTGAGGAACCTCCAAACACCCTCCAAGACCCCCCCCCAAACACCCTCCAGGACCCCACATCCCCTGATGCCCACCAGGATGTCGAGGCAGGCAGCCTTGAGCAGGGTGATCTGGTCGGCCATGCTGAGCCCTGTGAACCCCGGGAGCCGCTTCGCGAACTCCACGATCTTGATGATGCACTTGGTGGCCAGTTCACTGAACTTGTCCCACAGCCCCAGGTCCAGCTGCACACGGTGGTCTGCACTCGAGTTCTGGGGACATAGGGGGCCAGGGACTCACTTATGGGGGTTTAGGGTGGTTTGGGACCTGCTGAGACCCCCTGGAACCACTCAAACCCGACCTCGGCTCCCTGAACTTGTCCCCCAGCCCCTTGCCCAGCTGCACACAGTGGTCTGCGCTCAAGTTCTGGGAGGCACAGACCCAGTCAGGGTGGTTCAGGGTGAACTGGATCCTCCTCAGACCTCTAGGACCCCCTGGGATCACTGGGACCCCCCAGAGCCTCCTGGGGACCCCTCCCCAGCACCTCTCTGCCTTTGACTCCAGCTGCCCCCAGTGCTCAGATCTGGTGTTTTGGGGGGCCAGGGGGTGCAGGAACCCCTCTAAGGGTCTGAGGATTGGGGTGCCTCACTCAGGGACCCCCAATTCCCCCCCCGACTGCCTAGGAACTCCTGGGACCCCTCCCCAGCACCAACCTGCCCCTGAACTTGCTCCCCAGCTGCCCCCCCCCGAGCTCAGATCTTTTGTTTTGGGGGTTCAGGGTCACTCAGCAACCCCTCTATGGATCCAAGGCTTGGGGTACCCCTCTAGTGCCCACCCAGGGACCCCCCAGAACCCCCAGCCCCACTCA